GTCAGTTTTAAAAGAATATTTCTACCGTCAAGCATTTAAAATACCTCACAATTAAAATAATCGAGGAATAAAAGGTGAGTTGTCTAATTTGTTAACATGGAAAATGTTTCAGAAACAAAAAATTCTAATACCCTCCAAAATGAATCTGTAGACTGCTAGCTGGAATAGAAAGGAGAAGCAAACAACTATTGGAGTGGCTACAGAATTCTTCTTTGGCCTTTTGGTTTTTAGCAGAACATCTCTGGCAAAAAGTTCACAAACTGAAAGTTGATTTTTGAATGTAACAGCAATGGCACCATTTTTGTATGTGGATTTTGGACTTTTTTACTATAAAGTGATCAAATATATCCCTGCATTTGTATTCATAAAACGTTGTTTTCGTGGGAGAAAGTTATTCAAGATCAGACCACCAAAAACCTTTGATAGTGTATTTTAAAATAGCATTTCTGCTGTGAGAGTCAGATTTTTAATTAAGCAAGAGCTTTTATTGCTCAACTTGCAGGACTATCAAAATTCTGCATATAGTTTATTTTAGGTCCATCTAGATAGTCTTTAGTTGCAGAAAGCATGGATTACTGTGGTTTTCCTCAGATTTTTTATATGATATATAATATTATGTTATATCAACAATATTACTTATAATGGATGATCATTAATTATTAATAACAGATTATCATGTAATCTATTATTAATTATGTAATCACACACTGTTGGAATGAGATATGTTACTAGAATATCAAAGAAGAATATGTTACCAGATTACTCCTAGACTAAGTTAAGTCTTTTTGAGCACTCTAGTATTCTGCAGAAAGAAATACACTAAGGATCAGAAAATCGAGGTTTCAGGATCCAACCTACTATGTATTAACTGTGTAAACTTGGTAACTGAACTCCATTTTAATAATGGAAATAACATATCATACTTGCATTTTAAATTTCTGTGTAATTTAAAAGCCAGAACAAAGAAGGTAAATTTGTATGCGGCTTTAGGGCTATCATTAAGTTAATGTTAGTAAAATATAAAATGAATTATAACTTTGTATTTATACAAATATATGATATCTAATATAATAGTTCTTTTATCTCCCTGAAAGCATGAAGCTAAACAAAATAATCCTAGCTTTAATTTTTAAACTTTTTAAAGAATTAGTAAAGCAGTTCCACTTGTACCAGGGCGGAAATGCATATTGCCTGAAAATAAAGGAAAGAACAAAAGGCTTCAGCTTCATTCCAGGGGTGGTACAATGCCTACCCATTTATTTTCTCCTGCTTCTTTCTGTGCCAAAATCTGAAGACCAAACAATTACTATCAAAACTTCCATGTAAATATCCTGTGAGCATTGAGGTGGGTTGTCATTTACATCTTGTAGAAACACTGTGACTGTCCCAGTTGTTGAATGTATTCGTTCATTGTCATAAGCTCTAAAATATAATATCCAAGACTTGGGGGTGGCTTTGTCTTCATAATCCAAAAGATAAGCAAGTGTGACCTCTCCTGAATCTAAAAGGCAGGCAGATGCAAATTTGCTCAGTACTCATAAAATGAATAAGTTATGAATTAAAAAATAGTTGCATGTATAAAATAGTTCTAAGGATAAATAAAGGTCAGTTACTGCTCTGATGAAACTCACACGCTAGTCACAGTTGTGGATCTGTAAGGAATGGTGGTTGGGTAAGTGACGGAAAGAGAGAAGCCTCCGTAACCACATATTTCAGAAAATATTTCACGGGAGGGTCATGGTGGCTGGGGTTAGGAGCACACAGTACAGGCTCGGCTGAGTGTTGAAAAATTAGTACGGGAAATCTAGGCAGAGAAGATTGAGGTGGAGTGGGGGTGGTAAAGAGAGTGTAGGTGGAGTGGGGGCCAGTAGGCAAACAGAAAAACAACAACAGAAATCAACAGAAAGAAAAACTGATAATATTTTAATAGGGAATTGCTTTTTAAATAATTTTATTTCATCTATATTTGCAGAGCTTGTAACCCTTATGTGAAATGTGTTCTCTCCTTTATAATCTTGATTTTTAATCTACAGGTAAAAATATAATTGGTGCTCATTCTCATTTCTTATGTTCTTACATCTCTCGTTATTTTGGTTGTCTAGAGTGCATTCTCTGGTGGATGCATCAGGAAGAACTAAAAGGAAATACTGTTTCCTATGTTCTCAAATTTTTATATGCTGTTTTTTTAATATATGAGGTCATTTTGCAAAATGTAAATTTGTGAAATCACATTATGTGTCCTTCAGGTTTCCTAAATATGTTACTCCATTAACTTACAGAACAGATTTGTAGACAAGTCTGCTAACAATGCATTAATATTACTCCCTTGTAAGTCACCTACTCTTTTTGCCTAGAGGCTCAAATACTTTGGTAAAAAATTAACATCTAATACTTTATTAAAATATGGCTCAGATTCAGCCATTATAGATTAGTTTTTCCAAGAACCTAGTTTGCCTTTCAAATCCTTTATTTTATGAATATTTTTTGAATAATACCTCTGAGTATTTGTTGTATTTCATTGCTTTTTGTTTACTTCTTCAGGAATTTTTAGAATATGATTTAAAGTGTTGGCTTTTCTCTATGTTCTATAGCTGTCATTATTTTCTCCTTATTTCTATTTTAGTACAATTATTAAATTTTAAAAGTAATTACAAGTTTATAAAAGAGCTTTTTTTTTTCTTAGAACAATTTGAGAGTAAGTAACTGACCTGATGCCTCAATATACATTTCCTAAGAGAAAGGGTATTCTCCAAACAGCCATGACACATCAAAATCAGAAAGTTAGCCTCAATACATCTAACACCGAGACTTCCACTTAAATTTCAGTAATTGTCTCAATGTATTTTATAGCAAAAGATCCAGTTAAGAATTGCATGTTGTCATGTCTCTTTAGCCTCCTTAAATCTGGAAAAAGTCTCCAATCTTCCCTTGAGTTTTATGACCTTGAACTTTTTGAAGATTACAGACTAGTAATTTTGGAGAACGTCTCTCAAGTTGGGTTTGCCTAATCTGAGCTCATGATAAGATTCAGGTTAGGCAGCTTTTAATTAAATATCATACAAACTATACTGTATTCTTATTGAATGTTATCAGTTTGCCTCATTACTGATGAAATCCACTTTCATCATTTGACTCAGTGAGTATCTGTCAGTTTTCTCTACTCCAAAGTGGCTATTTTGACTTTTGCAAATTATAAATATTTTGTGGGCCGGGCGTGGGGGGTCATGCCTGTAATCTCAGCACTTTAGGAGGCCAAAGCAGGCTTAGCATGATGTTAAGAGTTCAAGACCAGCCTGGCCAACATAGTGAAACTCTGTCTCTACTAAAAAATACAAATAAGTAGCTGGGCATGGTGATACATGCCTGTAGTACAGCTACTTGGGAGGTTGAGGCAAGAGAATCGCTTGAACCCAGAGGCGGAGGTTGCATGACCCGAGATCACGCCACTGCTCTCTAGTCTGGGTGACACAGCGAGATGGTCTCCAAAAAAAAAAGTATTTTGTGAAGAGAAACTTTGAAACTATGTAAACATCTTGTTTTTCACCAAACTGTCCATTTATTTTGGTATTTATATCTGCTGGACTCATGCAGTCTCATTTTACAATTTATAATCTGTAACTATTATTTATTTTGATGTTCAGATTGCTCTAGAATTGGCAAGTGGGAACAATTCAAGCTGATTTCTGGCATTTTTGTTTGTGATTGACATACCCTCATCATTCTTCCAGCTCGTTCCTACTTTCTCACTCATTCTACATTTTAACTGCTGTGGTCTCAAGAAGAGTCATTCCTCTAATAAGCTTCTATAGGGAAAATGGTATTTAGAACTCAGTATCTGAGAAATAGGTGTACCCATGGCTATTTGGATATCATGCTCCTAAGCTCTTTCACTCTTTAAGTAGGGTTAGACACAAAATGTATGTTTTTATGTTTGTGTCTCTCTATATATGTACACATACAATTACCTCAATGTTTATGTTAACTGCATAGACATGCACAAACACATAAATATACATGTACAAATATATATATGTATATACACACACACACACATATATATATGGAAAAATATATGTTCATTCTGATACCTTCAATTTTAATTTATCCTCACATGGTTCATTACAGTTTCTCATTTTCCACAATTGTTACTCACATCTCTGACGGGAGAAACCATCCTTCATTTATCTTTAGCTTTTTATCAATCTCCCAGTATATAACTAATCTCCCATCTCTGCTACAATCCCCTCCTCACTGCCAGCTCTGGCACCTTTCACTCTCTTTCTGTCCGATCTCCCTCTTCCCCTCTCTCTCCTTAACTTCTGACTGGCCATACCAAGCTTTCTCTTCACAAGTCACCTTCCCTACCTCTCTCAGTTTGATTCTCTACCAGGAGCTCTTTTAACTGATGTAATAGATGGTGTGTATTTAACCCAGCTCTTTTCATGTGCAAAAATGTATATCACCTCTTAAAAAGAGAACACATCTTTCTTGTCTTCCTCTTCTTGTTTTCTATTTATGTCATTAGGGTTAGAAACTCCACACTTTTGACCATGTGGAAGGTAGGTAGAGTTACAAGTGTCAAAATCAAGCAGATTGAATTCAAGTGAAGGTTCTGCCACAGAAATCAGCTGCACAAGCTTGGATAAATTAAAATTATTTTCCAGGCATCATATGTTACATTAGAATTAGGATGGTAAAAACCGTATGCAAAATGCTCAAAAGAATATGTGATATATAATAAATATTCAATTTATGTTTACTACTGCTCTGGTTTCCATAGGAAAATTTACTTCTCAGAGAAAAATATCATACAATAAAATCCCGGGGATTGCTATTGTGAATTGGAATTATTTGGGAGCTTCCTGGAGCAGCCAGATTATAGACCATTTGCATACTTCTGAAAAGGAATAATAATTTCTACCTCATGAAAATACACTAAATATGCCAATAAATATTTTAAAGATTGTTTCATCTTAATAGAATGACAATCAGGCTTATATTTAAGTAGTAAAAACACTGTTTATTATATTTTATAAAATGATTCACCATAAAATTTTGTTATACCTTCATTTATAGAATATTCTTTTTGTGTCCCTATAACTTCATAATGTACCAAGTCCCCTATGTCTCTATCAATTGCTGTCAACTTGATCAACTTTGTTCCAACAGGCAGATTTTCATAAATATTTATAGGTGCATCTGGTATATATCTGTGGGACAAAGAGTTTTTTTAATCAATCAGTATAAACAAATGTCTCTTTTCATCTATGTCACACAGCAAATATTTTAAATTTCATATAATACATATTGTGTAACAGTTTGTACACAAACGGTGTAACAGTTTCAAGTCTGGCCTTCTTAATGTTTTTATGTTTTACATTATTAAATGTAGTAGAGAATGTTTATATATTATAAAATAAACTTAAAATTTTTCTTTTAACTGTATCCTTTTCCAATTCCTTCTACTGATTGGTAAATTGTACCTTACTCCAGATTACAAAATACTACAAATATTTCTGCAATTATTTTCATTATCTTTGTGTTTGGGAATTTGCCCATATCAGCAAGTGCTTATTACTAAAATTCTCTGGAATATCTACATTGACTTCATAGTAGAACATATCAATGTACATTTTTTATGATATTTTGATTATTAAAAATAAATACCAGAAAAATAGGAAGCTTTCAATTCATAATCCACCAAAAAATATTGGCTCTCTTCTGTAGTTTCAAGGACAAAATATAAATGAGTTTACTCCCAGTGCATGTAAAAATAGCAATAAAATACAGCTCATTGAGGTTTTCTTTCTAGATTGCTTAAAACATTTTTAAAAATTAACAGTGGAAACAATAGTCAAACACTGGTCTTTATCTTGCTGTGAGAAAAGTTACTGTGGCTAAATCTTATCATTTAAATATTTAGATTACTCATTGCTTACTTAAGAACAGGACTCTCATCATTGACATTCTGGATGTTGATATTGATGGTGCCAACACATAACTCCAGAGACAGGTTTTGTCTGTTTCTCACAGCAATCACTAAATGGAAATGCTGAAATAAGAGAAGATAGAATGTGAGGGTTTTTTTAGTGCTTAAAATATGCGATTTTGGCCAGGCATGGTGGCTCGCACCTATAATCCCAGCACTTTGGGAGGCCGAGAGGTTCGCAGATCACCTAGGATCAGGAGTTCAAGACCAGCCTTGACAATGTGGTGAAACCCCAACTCTAGTAAAAATTAAAAAAAATTAGCCGGGCATGGTGGTGCACACCCCTAATCCCAGCTACTAGGGAGGCAGAGACAGGAGAATTGTTTGAACCTGGGAGGCAGAAGTTGCAGTGAGCTGAGATCATGCCATTGCATCCCCCCAGTCTGGGCAACAAAGAATGAAAATCTCTCTCAAAAAACAAAAAAAAAACAAAAAAGAAATAAGAAAAACAATTGCCCTTTACATAAAAAATACTTTAAAAATAAAATTAAAAACCACTTTAGAAAACTGAAAGCATAAGAATGTAGAACCACTACCCAAACACTGTAGGGTCATTTGTCAAAAACAGTATCTTTTGTGCTTTTGTACAGATTTCTGCAATTGCTTCCCATTTTCATGGAACTTAGATCATATTTTCTTTCTTTTTTTTTTCTTTTGAGAAGGAGTTTCGCTCTTGTTACCCAGGCTGGAGTGCAATGGTGTGATCTTGGCTCACCCCAACCTCCGCCTCCTGGGTTCAGGCAATTCTCCTGCCTCAGCCTCCTGAGTAGCTGGGATTACAGGAACGCACCACTATGCCCAGCTAATTTTTTGTATTTTTTTTTTTTAGTAGAGACGGGGTTTTACCATGTTGACCAGGATGGTCTCAATCTCTTGACCACGTGATCCACCCGCCTCGGCCTCCCAAAGTGCTGGGATTACAGGCTTGAGCCACCGCGCCCGGCCTAGATCATATTTTCTAATGTTGGTTTTGGACATACATATCATATTTAAATTTGTAGAAGTACCAAAATAAAAGAGTAAGTTAAGTTTTATTGTTCAGGAAAAACTAACCATTGAAGGTAAACAACTATCTTACTTTTGGAAAGATTTGAAAGAATATAAATACTTTAGAACTCTTAAAAAACCTAACACTTCGACCGAGAGGACTCAAGATGGCACTGTGAGAACAACCCAGGATTAGAGCTCTTCTCGTTGAATCCGCAAACGGTGAGTCAGAGCGGCATTTCCAGACTGATCTTTGTTGCCCACAGAACAGGGAAACTCCCAAGTATAAAAAAGACACGGGACGCCAGGCAGTAGGTCTGCCTGGCGAAGCCGGCAGCCGGGGCGGCGGCGGCCGGCCCTACCCAGCAATCCCCACAGGGCGCGCTTGTCCGGGTGCCCTGTTGAACCGGCAACCTGAGACTTGAGAGGGCTGGACTTGAGACTGAACGAGACTTGGACAGTACGCCAGCCCAGGGGATTGCAGGGATTGGGATACCCAGTGGGACGAACAAAACCGCGATTTCAAATTATCCTGAGCAGACGGTCCGAGACGCTCTGTGGGGGAGGGGCGTCCACCACTATCGAGGCAACCCGCCCCAACTGAGATACACGCCCACTGCTGACGCAGCCAGCCGTTGCCGAGGCAACCCGCCCCAACTGAGATACACGCCCATTGCTGACGCAGCCAGCCGTTGCCGAGGCAACCCGTCCCAACTGAGATACACGCCCACTGCTGATGCAGCCTGCTGTTGCTGAGGCAACACGCTACAACGAAGAGACTCCGCCGAAGGGTGTGGCGGAGACCACAGCAGAGCCGGCAGGAACAGCGAGAATCACACAACAGCAGGGCGGAGCCTCGGCAGACAAACAGTGGCTAGTCTGCCTTCTAGCTGGGCAGGACACCTGATCAGACATCCAAAAATAAAGCCCAAACCCCTCAACACAGAGCATTTGAGAAAAAAAAAAAAAAGGGTTTTTTAATGATCTCTGTTGCAGCAGAATCAAACATAGCAGCCTAACAGCCCTGAATGAACAACAGAGTGCACAGCTCACCAATTAAACCCCTATAAAGTACAAACTATCTCCTCAAGCAGCTCCCTGACCCCTCTATATCCAAAAGACTGACATTAGGCAGGCATCATCCTGGGACAAAGAGAGCAGAAAAAGAAACTGGTAGCATCCCTCGCTGTGCCACAGCTACTAGAGGTGCACCCCAGACAAGCAGGGTCTGGAGCGGACCTCAGCAGTCATACAGCGAAGGGGCTAGACTGGTAGAAGGAAAACAAAGCAACAGAAATACTTCATCATCAACATTCTGGGTGTCCACTCAGAGACCCAAACGAAAAGTCAGCAACTACGCAGACGACCAGCGGACAAATCCACAAAGATGGGAAGAAACCAGCGCAAAAAGGAGGAAAACACCCGAAACCAGAACACCTCGCCTCCTAGAAAGGACCAAAACTCCTCACCAGCAAGGGAGCAAAGCTGGATGGAGAATGACTGTGACGAAATGACGGAATTAGACTTCAGAAGATGGATAATGAGAAACTTTTGTGAGCTAAAAGATCATGTATTAAATCAATGCAAAGAAACTAAGAACCTTGAGAAAAGATTTGAAAAAAGATTCGAGGAAATGATAACAAGAATGGATACCTTAGAGAGGAATATGAATGAATTAAAGGAGCTGAAAAACACAATACGAGAACTTCGCGAAGCAAACACAAGTTTCAATAGCCGAATGGACCAAGCAGAAGAAAGAATATCTGAAGTCGAAGACCAACTCAATGAAATAAAATGAGAAACCAAGATCAGAGAAAAAAGCGCAAAAAGGAATGAACAAAGTCTCCAAGAAATGTGGGACTATGTGAAAAGACCTAACCTACGTTTGATAGGTGTACCAGAAGGGGACGAAGAGAATGAATCCAAGCTGGAAAATACTCTTCAGGACATCATCCAGGAAAATTTCCCCCACCTAGCAAGACAAGCCAACACTCAATCGCAGGAAATACAGAGAACACCACAAAGATATTCCGCAAGAAGAGCAACTCCAAGGCACATAATCGTCAGATTCACAGGGTTGAAATAAAGGAGAGAATACTAAGGGCAGCCAGAGAGAAAGGTCGGGTCATCCACAAAGGGAAGCCCATCAGACTCACAGCAGATCTCTCGGCAGAAACACTACAAGCCAGAAGAGAGTGGGGGCCAATATTCAACATTCTTAAAGAAAAGAACTTTCAACCCAGAATTTCATATCCAGCCAAACTGAGCTTCAGAAGTGAAGGAAGAATAAAATCCTTTGCGAACAAGCAAGTACTCAGAGATTTTGTCACCACCAGGCCTGCTTTACAAGAGCTCCTAAAAGAGGCACTGCACATAGAAAGGATCAATCAGTACCAGCCATTCCAAAATCACAGTGAATGCTAAAGAGCTTCAACATAATGAAGAATCTACAACAACTAACAGGCAAAACAGCCACTTAGCATCAAAATGGCAGTATCAAATTCACACATAACAATATTAACCCTAAATGTAAATGGACTAAATGCACCAATCAAAAGACACAGACTGGCAAATTGGATAAAAATCCAAAACCCATCAGTGTGCTGTATCCAGGAAACCCATCTCACATGCAAGGATACACAAAGGCTCAAAATAAAGGGATGGAGGAAGATTTACCAAGCTAATGGAAAGCAAAAAAAAAGCAGGAGTTGCAATTCTCATCTCTGATAAAATAGACTTTAAAGCAACAAAGATCAAAAGAGACAAAGAAGGCCATTACATAATGGTAAAAGGATCGATACAACAAGAAGAGCTAACGATCCTAAACATATATGGACCCAACACAGGAGCACCCAGATACATAAGGCAAGTTCTTAATGACTTACAAAAGGACTTAGACTCCCACACAATAATAGTGGGAGACTTTAACACTCCACTGTCAATACTAGACAGATCAACCAGACAGAAAATCAACAAGGATATCCAGGGCTTGAACTCAGACCTGGAGCAAGCAAACCTGGTGGACATTTACAGAACTCTCCACCCCAAATCCACAGAATACACATTCTTCTCAGCACCACATCACACCTACTCTAAAATTGACCACATAATTGGAAGTTAAAGCACCGCTCAACAAATACAAAACAACTGAAATCATAACAAACAGCCTCTCAGACCATAGTGCAATCAAGTTAGAACTCAGAATTCAGAAACCCACCCAGAACCGCACAGCTTCATGGAAACTGAACAACTGGCTCTTGAATGTTGACTGGGTAAACAACGAAATGAAGGCAGAAATAAAGAAGTTCTTCGAAACCACTGAGAACGAAGACACAATGTGCCAGAACCTCTGGGACACATTTAAAGCAGTCTCTAGAGGAAAGTATATAGCAATAAGTGCCCATATGAGGAGAATGGAGAGATCCAAAATTGACACCCTATTGTCAAAATTGAAAGAGCTAGAGGAGCAAGATCAAAAAAACTCAAAACCCAGCAGAAGACAAGAAATTACTAAGATCAGAGCTGAGCTGAAGGAGATTGAGACACGAAAAACCCTTCAAAAAATTAATAAATCCAAGAGCTGGTTTTTTGAAAAGATCAACAAAATAGACAGACCACTAGCCAGATTGATTAAAAAGAAAAGAGAGAACCACCAAATAGATGCAATAAAAAATGATAAAGGGGAAATCACCACAGATTCCGCAGAAATTCAAACCATCATCAGGGAATATTACAAACAACTATATGCGCATAAACTAGTAAACCTGGAAGAAATGGATAAATTCCTGGACTCCTGTGTTCTCCCAAGCCTAAACCAGGAGGAAGCTGAAACTATGAATAGACCAATAACAAGGTGTGAAGTCGAGGCAGCAATTAAGAGCCTACCTCACAAAAAAAACCCAGGTCCAGATGGGTTCACAGCCGAATTCTACCAGACACACAAGGAGGAGCTGGTACCATTCCTTCTAAAACTATTTCAAACAATCCAAAAAGAGGGAATCCTTCCCAAATCATTTTATGAGACCAACATCATCCTGATACCAAAACCCGGCAGAGACCCAACGAGAAAAGAAAAC